CCCTGGGCAACGTATACTCATACGGCAAAAATGTCCGTGCACCCTGGGCAACGTATACTCATACGGCAAAAAGTCTTTTAACTGCACCCTGGGGAACGTATACTCATACGGCAAAAAAGTCTAACACCCTGGGCAACGTATACTCATGCGACAAAAAAGTCTAAAATACGGGGTGTGCGATAGACTTACCTCCGTGATATATTTAATGAATGGGGTGTGCGATAGACTTACCTCCACGTTGTGCGAAATAGCAATGTGGGGTGTGCGATAGACTTACCTCCACGTGGTACGCCTGGGCAACGTATACTCATACGGCAAAAATGTCTATTAACTGGCAGTTGACTTCTGACTCCAAACTACCATAATCCCACTGTATGTCTTATTCGTCCACTTCCACAGTACTAATCCTACCTTTTCTCTGCCTTTGTGTCTGTCTATCTCTCTTACTTCTGAGTATCTCTCTTCTGTTCCCCCTCTCCACTTTTTATCGCTTTGATGTTCCTCCCCTCTCTGATCCCCGAAGTCGACTAAAAGGCTAATGATAACTATCAAAATGCCTGCCATTTGATATAAATAAATAAATTTCTATCAAGAGGTAGTGTTTGTAAAAATGGTTCGAAAACAGATAGAATAATGGATGGTGCTATAAATGAGGTTGGAAATTAGATTATTTAGTACTGTGTGCAAACCTCTTCTCAATTGAAATTTTTTCAGATTTTTGTGCGTTTGATTTTGGCGTACCGCTTCCATTATGAGACTATTATATCGATTTTACTGAAAATTCACATTATACTAAATAAGGCATTCAGATGGAAAACGTTAAATAAAAATGTACGAGCGGTCGAAGTCAAGAAATGAATCCAGGTTGTTTAAATGTCATTTGCTCAAATTTGGAAGCTTAAGTCTTGTAAAAGGTTAAATATTCCAAAGCTCTTTGTGACATTTGGTTTGCCATTGTCGAACCACCTGGTAAACTTTTCTAGCCACAGTGATTCTTGAGTATGATTTTATCAACTCAGTTTCGATTGGCACAATATGGTGGCATTTCTAAGAAGTTGAAAAGTTAAAAATCAGTTGGAATTCTAAGAACGCATAGGCCAACTCAACCTACTTGTCATTCACCTAGAAATAAACACAAGAATAATTGAAACTGAACATGGATTTTACCTAGAATTGTTTGCTCTTTCATTGAAAGCGTCTCGAAAATTTGGTTGCTGGGAGACACTTAATCGAGAAAATTGATTAAGATCTCGACAAAACGCTGTATGACGATATATAAAATTACATACAACCTAGATCCTTAGTTGTAATGCGATTATTTTTAAACACATTATTTTACTTATTTCGTCTTTGAATACTTCCTGAAAATGAGGAATTTCAAGCATTTTTTCAGTTGCAATATTGATCAGCTATCACACGAATAAGCAACAAATCATTAATTTTTAGACTCTGTGGAGCAAAGCCAGAATGAATATTTAAGTTTGAATTTTTAAAATATCACTTTCAAAATGGTTAGTCCAACCACTATTAATGCAAAAGTTTTGAAATAATTACTATCTTATAGATTTGAGTATCAACGAAGGTTCTGGTCTCGGTGGTGACTAACGATCCAACTCAAAAGACAGATTATTTATTTGATCAGATGAAGAAGATATGAAAGCGTTTCCAGTGAATTAAAACTTATATCTAGTGTTGAGATACCTTGCTTGTCGAATTCTTCCCATTTGATATACGTGTAATAATCTCGATTTAGGACTGAATTCAATCAATTTTTGTCGAGAAACACGTTTTTCTAAAAAGAATGCTATTTTACCAGGCTTAAGCTGTGCTCTTGACCAACCCACTTTCTGATTGCACGCCCATTGGAATTGATTTCATATCCACTGATTTTGCAACTCTTAAACTTTAAACACCGCCTATTTATAATTTAACCCACACATGACGAACAAACCTCTAAGTATTAACAACAAATATTACTTTCATAATGTTTTATTTTAATTTATTTATTCGAAGTACATAATATCGATTTACAGAAAAATGTAAATAGATCAGGTGCTTTTAAAATATTTTAAATTAAAATACAGGCGTTGCTTTAGCATTAATTAATAGCTGAATTTGCGTCAGTGGTTAGTTAAGGATGATGGAACAGGATTGGGTCGAAGTACCTTTTCGGATATGGTCCAAGAGTTGCTAAAGTAAAAAAAAATAGAATAAAATACAGTCATTTTCAGATTTGGTTGTTTCTAAAATATCCCTATCTATTTTCTGCTTTTATTTCCTTGTTATTTGCAATAAATAAGCCAATCCATCTTGCTTTATGAAGATCATATTTTCAAGAATATCTTCAAAGACAATATATATGCTTATATTTGACTTTATATTAAGGCATAATACTAGTGTAAGGCAATCCGACCTCAAGCAGTACAATTAGTATGTATCTTTGGAAGCCCAGTCAGCATAGAAGTTCTTGATATTATAATCGGTTCCTTCCATCCTCAATTTTAATATTTGTTGTCCATAAATATGGCATTCCTTTAAACTACGCTTATTTATTATTGGATTAAATTAAATTTGGCGCCGGATACTAAATTTTTCATATGATCAATATCTTATTTTAAGTTTATAAGCTTCCTGCAAGCAGTAGCAGTTGACATATACTAGAAATTGATTTCTTACGGTTTATGAATCTGATTGGATCGAAGTAACGCTTGAAATATTCAATGCCTTCATAATCGGACACAGGATGTCCAATTGATACGATCACGATAACCTAAAAGTAAATTTAAATAGCAGGTAAATTTTCAGAGGAAATAAATGAAGCAAAGTTAATCAAACGATGAACTCACTGAAAGCATAAAGAAGAAAACGCTGAAAAATGTGCGCATTTTAATGACGTTTTTAATTTGTTGGCAAACAAACAGTTCTGTTCGTCAATTCTAAGCAAGCTTTTATATAGTTTTCCAATCAAAAGAAAACAGGTTGTTTAACCAATTAGAAAAGTTACATTTGTAAACATTTTTATTGGCTATGCTGTGCTGACGTGGAAAGCTGAATTAATAATTTGTTTTTTTTAACAAAAAAATATGTTTAGGTTGTTTTTAGAAAACGGAAGATATTTTGACCCATATTTAATCTAAAGAAAACCTATTGCCCAGTTTTATTTAAAAGGCATGATTTATAGTAAAGTTAGAAGATGCAGTTGTTTCATCTAGACGTACAGCGTCATGGATATATTGCATTAATAAAATTAATATTTTGGCAGAATTAGTGTCACAATTTTGCTTAACGAAATTCAGGTTAACATGGGAGACAATTCTGTATTCGTTAAATATTTTGCTCTTAAAGACGTCTGGAGATTGAACAGGGATTAATTATTCCATTGTACTAACCAAAGTCTAATGATATTTCATAGACTGCAAAAAATTAATAAATAATACTCCGAATAATTTATTTCCTAATTATTGTTAACATCTAAAAAATTTTATTTTATTTTTTATAGTGTCTAAATGAAAGAAACATTTGAAGTTATCGAAATGACGTTGAAAGGATTGAGATCAGTAATTTGTCCGTTAATTTTAATCTTTTCTCTCTATGACACATTCACAACATGTATGTTCTATCCTATTCAAAGTGATTTTAGATATGGAAACATTTTACTGTGATTCTGCGTTCACCCTCTTTTTCACAGAGATTCGGATGCGAGTATGTGACCATAAGTTTGCAAATGTCTTCCCATGACGCATACATTTTCGGCCCGTTTCTGGCAGCCGCAAATATCCTAACTCAGTACTGTTGCCTGCTAACTTCAATTGCAATTTAACTCCTTGCTCTTCCGTTCTTCCATCATTTGATATTGTTCTCCCTTCTTCGCATTCGGTCTCCTCCACCTTGGAAAAATCTCATTTTACTCGGAAAGTCATTAGTTATGCCTATGCTCTATGTTCAGATTAGAGCCACTTAAGAACTCTTCAAAGTCTACCATTAGAGGGACAATAGTCTTACATTATTTTGAAATAAAGCAGACATATGTATTTATTTCAAATATAGTACTATGGAGAGTATTCAATTTGGAAACTTTGTGATCCACTCGAATGAATATCACTATGATACTGTTTAACACTTAGACATATCCAAGCAATTCTTCCTAAAAGCCTCATTTTTTCCGTTTCCCTTCTTCTAAAATCATAAACTATCCGACAGGACCAAGTCAGGTTCCGTTTCTTTAACTAGGAAACGTTTGGTGTATCCCGATAGCCAATTTGATGGTTGGATTCAAAGGGTCACGTATCTAAGCCCAAGCTACCATAAATTATGTCCAAATTGGGGTGTACGATAGACTTATCTCCACGTGATGCACCCTGGACAACGTATACTCATATGGCAAAGAGTCTAAAAACCTGCAGTTTTCTTCTGACCCCAAAATACCATGACCCCACTGTACGTCATATTCGACTACGTTCACAGTACTCAGTTCACCTTTTTCTAACTTTTTGTCTGTCTCTTTTACATCTGCAAATCACTCTTCGGTCAACCCTCTTGAATTTTGAGACTTAGTCTGTTTCTTCCCTCTGTTAAGCACGAATTCAACTTAAGTGCTAATGATAACTATCATAAAGCCTGACATTTGATATAAATGACTGTGCCTCCAAATCCACATTGCATTTTGAGTATAAAAAGTCGCTGATATTTTAATCAAATGAACTAATGGGAATAGATTTATTCTATAATTATTTTGTCCTATTGGCAAACTGTCAATAAGTTGTAATTGACTGAATAATTTACTTGCACAAAAGTTATTACAGGTTAAATTTATTTCAAAATTGAAGCGATAATTTCTCACACTAAAATTATTTTATAAGCACACATTCACTTAAAAAAGTCTTTGATTAAATTGATGCTAATATAGCTCATGTCATAGCTGAGTTAAAATGAATACTAGGAAGAAGGTAAATTTTGCTTAACTTCATTACTCTCAAGTAACTGGGAATAGCGCTTGCATAATGGAGATTGCAAACTTAAGTCTACAAAATCTCAGAAACAAAAAATATTACAACGTGCCTTCCATTGAAATTGAAATCGAGAGATACTCTCGAGTAAGTAATATATTAATTTTTTCCTATCTTTGCAAGGCAATCGGGGTTACATACGACGCAATAATGGAGAATGATCAACAGCTTGTCTATCGTTGTGAATGTAGTAAGTCAATGAACTGCAAAGCTTCATTTACCGTGAATAAAAGCGTTGGTGGTAGATCATATGAGGTCACTATCTATGAACGACACACCCATGATTACGGCTTTGAACCAGCGGAATTGGATCCGAGTCCCTATGATATCGATCCATCAGAATTACAAGAGGAACCGGTGGAGATGACAGAACAAATGCGAGCGAGACGACGATATTTTCAAAGGATGCTCAATATAGTCGCGTCGGGATTCAAGCCATCAACTATTGAGGATTTGCAGAGGATTTTCCTCTATCTTTCTTTATACACTTTTAACAATAAGAAAGTTTAATTAATTTTCAAAAAAACAGAATGCTGTTTCCTGATGAGTTTTTTAGTTTTTGTTGCCAAGGCTGTTTTGAATAAAAGCGCATAGGCATTCCTGAAAGATGAATATCCTTCCCTATCTAAATACTTTTAATAGAAATGGTGTCTTCATGTGTGGATTAAATTGGGTCAGTTGGGTATTATTGATTGGAAGGGGATTTGACAGCTGATTCTAATATAACTTTTCTTTAAACCCTAGACTTTTGAAATGATTCTCCCTATTGGTCGAAAATGGGTATGGTTTAAAAGCATAGTTCAACTAGTCCTTATTATAATCTTTAGTAAAAAACAATTTATTCATTTTCACAATTTAAAGGCATTATTAAACAGATCAAATGAAATTATTGATTATTTACTACAATTCTGTTTTTGAATGAGTTTCTCACATTAACCTTTCGATTGCAACAAATTCTCGCGTAAGACTTAAGTTTATATTTGAAAAATATCTACAGAATTTTCTAAACATATTACAAAAATTCGATTTTTCTGGATCATAGAAAACCTTTTTAGCTCTTAAACCAGATAATCACCAGAGAGTTTGAGTAAAGAAGTATTCATTTTTTGTATTTATAAGTTTGGAAAGATATCCTTTCACCATCCGCATATCTTCATGCACTTTCGTCAGAAAAAACTTTGCCGTGGCTCCGAATGAGTTCAAATTCATAAATATTACATTCCATTCTTAAATATTCTTATTATTATTTCATTAGCTCTTAAACTTTAAATTCAGCTTTCCCCATGGGAGGGGGGGGGGATACATACATAGCAGCCCATGGGTGGGGGGTACATATATAGCAGTTAATTAATAGCAGACATTAGCAGTCTTCTTGCTTCCCAGTATCTTTGGCTTTCCTGTAGCTGTCTTCTTGCTTCCCAGTATCTCTGGCTTTCCGTAGCTGTCTTCTTGCTTCCCAGTATCTTTGGCTTTCCGTAAGCTGTCTTCTTGCTTCCCAGTATCTCTGGCTTTCCGTCGGTCTTTAGGGCTGGACACCGAATCAGGTGGGTCTTCTCCAATCCCGTTGTCTTTAGAGCTGGACACCGAATCAGGTGGGTCATCACCATTTCCTCCGCTAGACACCGAATCAGGTGGGTCTTCTCCATTTCCTCCTTTGAACACCGAATCAGGTGGGTCTTCTCCATTTTCTCCTGTAGAGAATCAGATGGGTCTTCTCCATTTCCTCCTGTAGGTTTCACGAGGGCATGTGGGTTGAGTGTATACTCCAAATCTGTGAAGGTGGCCAGTGTATACTCCCAATCTTTGAAGGTGTTTTGCCAGGCAATCCGTCCGTACGTAGTCTAAACTCAGCAACGGCTTCGATTCTTGGCCAAAGTCTAAACTCAGCAAAGGCTTCGATTCTTGGCCAGTCGGCTATATCGGAGATTGTCACTGCCC